TACATTTTTTTAAATAGTGGGGAAGGATATTTTTCAGAAGTTACTTTTTACATTTGTCATTGATGTGGTGCTTTGGTGTGGGATGTGGTTCAGTGGGCATGGTGGTGTTGGGTTGATGGCTGGACTGATGATCTTAGAGATCCTTTCCATCTTTAATGATTCCTAGTTTTACTTTCATTAAAAAATAATGCAGCCACCAAGCCAGGAAACATGAAATTATTACTCTACCCTTAATTGTTTTAGTGGTGGACTTGGCAGTGTTAGGTTAATGGTTGGACTTGATGATCTTAAAGGTCTTTTCCAACCTAAACAATTCTATGATTCTATGACTTCTGGTGACAATCGTGTCCAGCTTTCCATTTTATCTACAGTGCCTTCATTGATGCAGAATTGGTAGCACTTTGTCAAACAACAAACGTTTGTATCAGCAGCTTAAACACTGATGCTTCTTGGAAACCCTAGTGTTTGTTGAGTTTAGTATGGAGAACTTTGTTCTTTTTCCTTTTCAAAATAGCTCACAGTAAATTTATAAATTGATATTAAGAAGATACATACCTGGCACAGTGGTAGCAAATCACTTGGTAGTCTGGCAGTTAAAAGAGCCATTGGCATTTGGGAAGGACATGTCATGGTCTGCCAGCTCTCCTGAATGAAACAAAAGCTGTCTTGCAAGGACATAAAAGTGACTGGATTTTTAATTTGTGTGAAATGTATACTAAATAAAATGCAGTTTTAATTATACTCAATGTCCATTATCTAACTGATTTTTTTTTTTCAAGGAATTGTCTTGAGATGTAATTGCCATGTTTGTTTCGTTGACTTGAAGGAAATTGAGGCTAACATACTATTTTCAAATAATACATCATACATCTGGAGGACAGTACTTTATGTGATACAAAGTATACGTTAGGAAAGTTGTGAGTGATTATTTGCAGTTTTTCACTTGACCTGGCAAGAAGGATGGAATCAGACACTGTTCTGGGGGGATGTCCTTGGTAAACCAGTTATCATTCCTGTCTGGGTCTTTGTTCTTCTGAATCTCATGTGGCATCTTTTGTTTGTAACTGATTGTACACATGCACACAATTTTGTACATTTCAGATACGAAATGCCAATACATCAGGCTTGCACACACCTTAATTATGCATGGGTATCACCACAGGCCTAGATTCATAAAGGTACCTGGTAGCTGAGTTGCACTTTAGGCATGGTAAAATATTTCCTAACTTGTAACAGAATGATTCATAAAACTTCTGCTTAGGTGCTATGCTGTTCATAGGCACCATGGTAAGTACCAGAGGTATTTTTTGACATTAAAGTTCTGCTTCTATGCTAGAGGTTCATGTGGCCAACATAGGATAAAGGGGAAGAGGGGGCAACTAGTTTTTGCCACAAGTGTGTAGTGTTTAGAATACTTAGCACATGAAGACTGTCAGAGAGCATCAGCCTCCTAGGGAAATGTTGAAGAGCATCTCTGTGACTGCCGTTGAGGAGAGAGAGCTCAGAGGAGCACAGCAAAGAGGACAAACTAGCAGAGACTTCGCAGTTGAGGTAGTTTGTGTAGATGGGGGTTTGAAGGGGAACTGGAAAAGAGTGCGCAAGACAGTGTGGGACTGCTAGAGCTGGTGCAATGACAGTGATGATGGGCCACAGGGAGTGCTCCCCAGCACCAGCTGGGCCAGCCAACCATGGCACATCTAGAGGTTTCAACCCAGATCCAGAGGTAGGATGTGACCGTCTTGGTCTCAGGCTGCTGGGAGTGTCAGGAGTCTCTCCTGAAGGCTGGGGGCAACGGTGGCTTCACGTAGGGGAGATGTGCTGTGATCAGAGTGCTGAGCTGCCAGCTGAAGGAACTGCAGAAGGACGTGAGAAGGACTGTGTAGTCTCAGGCAGGATAAACAGGAGCTTGACAGCATCTTTCAAGGGTCCACTGAAGAGAGAAGAGTGCCTTTCTACAGCAGATGGAGGCACCAATCTGTTGACCAGACTTGCTCTCAAGTGGTGCTGTGATAGGATAAGACACAACGTGCACAAACTGAAATAGAAAAAAAAATCTGTTTAAGAAAAGCCTTTTTTTACTGTGAGGGTGGTCAAATGCTGGAACAGGTTGCCCAGAGAGGTTGTGGAGTTGATTTACACACTTTGGGACTAAAGAGCTAAGAATACCTGCTAACTCTTTTTTACTAGTTATCAGTCATAGTCATGTGCCCTTCACATTAAATGTTTCCTTAGTTCAGTATTTTGAAGGCTTTAATTACAGGGAAAATGTCATTTGATTGACGAGAAATACAGATTTTGTTTGTCGGGAAATTAAGAAGGATGCCCAAAGGCAGAGCTTGACTGACTACAGTAGATTATTTTGAAATTTTCCATTCTTGTCACCTTTATTCAGTTCACTAATCGGTAAAAACAAACTAGCTCAGAGGATATTCTCTGTCCCTGAGGCCATGCAGTGCAGTATGATGTACATACGTAGAGCTAAACTCTCTTGCACCTCCCTCTCCTCCTAACCCCACCAAACCAAGCAACTAACCAGGGTGGTTTTACCTTTACTGGGAAGAAGCCCTGACTCAAGCATTCCTCCAAGCTATGACGAGGGTTTTTTCAGGAGGAGTGATAGTTGGCACAAGCCAAAACTGTACCAGCTGTGCTGACAATTGCACCAAGAACAAACCAGCCCAGATTATACCATGTCAGTGCTTGAGTCCATCCCCTGGTCCTGTTGAGTTTGTACTTCATAGTTGTAATCTCTGATTCTGACTGATCTAAACAGGCAAAAGAACTTTACTAGCACAGTTCGTTTAAGTTGATACAAAACTAGGGTAGGTACCACCTTGGTCTAGGTAGGAGAGGGAAGGAAACCACATCATCTCCACTTTAGGTGATATGAGAGGATATATCATGCTGGCTGATGCTGATAAGGGAGCTAATGTTCCTTTGCACTCCCGCTTTCCAGCAGTTAAATCCACAGCTGAATGCAAGGGTGATTGAGACAGTAATGATGGCTGTTAACTATGGCATGTTTATTCACTTGTCTAGTAAATTATTTTGTGAAATCAGGCTCTGTCATTAAAGTCCAATTGTTAGAAAGACTTTTTGAGAGAAATGCAGTAGCTACACTTTAAAACCAGAAAACACCTTTATAAAAAGAAAATCTTGACAGATGAATTTGGTTTGTATTGTGAATGTGTCTTCCAGAAAATCTGATTTCCCATTCAGCCTTCTCACTTTTAAGGAAGTTAAAATATTTTCTCTATCAGAAAGATGGTGATTGAAGTGTGCTTTCATGGCAACGACCCAAGGTTCCCATAATTTTCTCAAAAATGTTCCTTTTTGAAGCTTTTACATACTTCACAGTTTAGAATGAAAAAAAAAAAATCCATTGTGCATATTAATCGGAGTATGTAAATAAACATTACATAAACAGTCAAATTTCAAATAATTTGAACTTTAGTTTTGGTTCTTTATATTTGTAGAGTGCATTATCCTTAAGAGAAATAGATGCTTTATTATATTTGAAAAAAATGTATTAAGATAATGAAATTTTAGCAGAAGTCACAAAGATTGTACAACATACATGTTTAATACTTCAGATTCTTTACAAATTTTATTTCTGTTAAAAAGTTTATCATGTTTTTAAAGTATCATTCTTTAGAATATTGATTACCAGATTGCCACAGCATTACACATAGCAGATTTACAGACACTGATATAACAAACCTCTTCCTGTTTTCATTTTACATGTATTTTTTAAAGCTAGAACTGCTTTAAGGAAGAAAAGCTTTCAGACTGCACCATCTTACAAAATACCAGAATTAATTCTGTGCTTGATAACAGATCTACTTTTTAATTCTAAAATTACCCATCTTTATCCTTTCAAAGTAACTATGGAGGGTGCCAGTAAATTGAGCCTCAGTCTGGCAGAGAATCAAGAGGATTCACACAGAGCAAGCTGGGCAAACAAGTTTTGTAATTCTCACAGTAAAAGCAAAAAATACTTGCCTGGTTTGGTTATTGCAGTCTGCTCTGTCTTAATTTTACGTAGAAAGCTTTGAGAAAGGGACCAGTTGTCTTTCAGTTAGTTGCAGTTTATTTAGAAAGTTAAAATACATGTGCAATACTTCAGCAGATAATAGACAGCTCTCAAATGTATTAAATACCTTCAAGTGTTTAAATTTTTTTTTTTAAAAATTAGAACTGTATGTGGGAATTCTACTCTGCTGTCTAAAAAAGTCATAGATTTACCTACCAGAAAAGTGTTTTGGCGAGCTGGATTGATACTTATGAGATTGAAAATGTTTTAACCTGAAATCTGAGATGATGCACAATGAATAAAGATTATAATTATATGTATTATTCCATCAGTACTGCAAAACCCCATCTTTTTAGTTTAATCTTTTTTCCAAGGTGTCTTGGGAGCATTAATTTCCAAGGATCAGGGCCCATATAATACACTTTTCTTGCATTGCTTGCATTTAGAGGATAACATATACCTTCTACCCTCCCATGAAGTGTGGAGCATTCTGCATGTTCTCACTTGTTTTCAAATGGCAGCCAAGAGCTGTTGGTTGGGGAGCCACTTTGCCAATTCAGATGTAAAGCAAGGGGAAGAGAATGTGCTGCTTCAAGTGCTTTAGACAACTAACTGACATTAGGTCAGTTTTGCAGATTCTGTAGGAGTTCCATTTAGTTTACATAGGGAGAACTGAAAAGACTGAAGTAACATTACCTATTAATTTAAGCATGAAAGTTTTTAAAAGGCAACTTCTGTACCTAATTTTCAGTCTCTCCCAATGGCACCCACATACACTTTTCTCTTTCTCTGAAATGAACTATAACCCATTCACTGATAGTAAAATGATCCTTCTTTTTGCAAATACATACCTGTCTATACTAAAAAAGGTACTAAGTAGAGACATAGTTAAATAAATGATTCCTTGCTGGCCTAGGTAGGCTGCATGATGCCTCACTGTATTTTACCATGATCAGCTGTACTGAGGATGGATGCTGCCATTCTGTTGCTCTTTGTGCCCACGCACAGTGAACTCTGTGAAGTAAAATTGTATTTGGCTTCCATTTTTTAAGAAGACTTGCATAACACGGTACTGCTGATGTTTTTAAAAGCTTTGAGTAAGTGAAGAAATTCAAGAGAATAAGGATGGAATTCATTCCACCTAATTTTATGTGTCTAAAAATTAAGTAACTGTGAGTTACAGTAGATCTCTCTGTCATCAGAGGAGAGAAAGGGGACTCTCTAGAGAATGATTCTGAGCTATCTAGTGTGGTTATCTCTGTCCATGGGCTTTAGAAGGACTCTAGAGGACTGGCTTAGGCTGGTCTTGTTTGGAAAGGCAAATGCCATCTTTCTGTGGCTGGAAATGCTATGAATTGAACCATTGTAGAATGTGTGGGGATCTAAATCTACAGGCTTTTCTTTACCATGGTTTTTGCTAGAACCTGCTTGTTCCAGTATGATACATACTTAATAATCTTCAAAAAGTAGAGGATAATTTTGTGTTTATTATCAGAATTTTAGGCATATTACTGGATAAACTGAAAATAAAATTGAAATTATTAAGTTATCTTCTTAGGATTCATATCGTTAATCCACAGTGAGCTGTGTTTGGTTTTTTCAGATGTGAATAGTTAAGTTATAGCAGATTTACACCAAAGGACAAATTATGTAATTAGTGACTTGTTTTTGTTATTAGACAGTCATAATCAGATGATGGTATTTTGTTAGTCTGTTAACATTTCTCTCTAAACATTCGCATTCCATTCAAATTAACAAAGTAGTTTTATAGCCGTGTGTAAATTCCTACTTCCCAATGAGTCCAGCATTTACTTACTCAACCAAAGCACTGGAGACCTTCGTGGTGACATCTATCCCACCATTGTGCAGGCATTGTGTAATTTAGATTTTCAAAATACTTTACAACAATTCTGAAAATTTAAATTCTGTAAAATAGTTCTAAAGACAAAAACAGGTAAGTGTATTGTTTGCAATAAGGGATACAGTTTTTTCTTTTAACTGTATAATGCTATGCAATTGTGAAGGGTGAAATTCTATCTTTGAATGCTGATGAGCAATTTATATTGCAGACAAGATCTGTGTTATCAGTGGCGGGGACAAGAAGGGAAGCTGGGCTCTGAACACTGGAAGAGGAAAAAGCTAACACTGAATACTAAATAAAACTGTCTTTCTGATTGATCCACACATTTATGTAGCACAAGTATTTTCTGTCTGGGAACATTTTTATCTGCATATTGGGAGGCTGGACAGTTAGTTAATTTGAAGAGTAAAATTTTAAAAGCAGATGATAATTTCTTGCTTTGTGTTCTTTTAAATAGGAACAGATGTCTCAGGTGTTAGATGCGATGTTTGAAAAGCTGGTTGAAGGAGGGGAACATGTCATTGATCAAGGGGATGATGGTGACAACTTCTACGTCATTGATAGGTGAATTGCTGTGTCTTATTATAGCACAAAGTATTATGCAAAACTCCATTGAGAAAAATCCGTTTCTTTACTTACTTGTATTTAACTCTTACATATGTTTGCATGGGAGAAATTAAAAAGAACACATGTGAACCAGTACAGGTCTGAGCTACGGAGAGTGGTTTTTGAAAGGTGGCAGATTTTTCATATGGAAATATGTCCCTGTCCTCTTATATATTGCTGGATCCCAAAGGCTGGTTTTGGGTTTTTGGTTTGGGGTTTTTTTTTATTTTTTCACGTGGAAAGAGATCTAACACAAAACACAATGGGAAAAGTTTTACAGCTCAATATTTGAATCCTTACTGCATTTCAATACTATCTGTAGGTTTTCTTGTTCACGTGCTTATTATTAGACCTCGAGTAGCTAAGTCATTACTCTTCATTTGGAGATCTGTACTGGAAAAAGCAGGTAACTAAGTAAAATCCTAGACACTGATTACTGTTGAATCCAGTGAGTTAGAAAGAGCATTTACTTTGGCATCCTTCACTAGTCTGTAGGCACAGGTTCCAGCCAGGTGAAAATACCTATTCCTTGAAAGGAATATTATGCTAGAACTCTAAAAGAAATGGAAAGGTTTTTGGTCAGTCTAGATCAGTATAACCAGCTGGTCAAAAGAGGCGATGATCCCACTGTATTCAGCATTGGTGTGGCCTCACCTCGAGCACTGTGTGCAGTTCCAGGCCCCACAATTTAAGAAGGATCTGAAGGTCCTTGAATGCATCCAGAGGAGGGCAACCAAGCTGGTGACAGGGCTGCAAGGCATGTCCTGTGAGGAGCGGCTTAGGGCTTTGGGCTTGTTTAGTTTGGAGAAAAGGAGGCTGCGGGGTGACCTCATTGCTCTCTACAGCTTCCTGAGGAGGGGATGTGGAGAGGGAGGTGCTGATCTCTTCTCCCTGGGGTCCAGGAACAGGATGCGTGGGAATGGTTCAAAGCTGTGCCAGGGGAGGCTTAGACTGGACGTTAGGAAGCATTTCTTTACCGAGAGGGCGGTCAAACTCTGGAACAGGCTTCCCAGAGAGGTGGTCGATGCCCCAAGCCTGTCTGTTTAAGAGGCATTTGGACAATGCCCTTAATAACATGCTTTAACTTTTGGTCAGCCCTGAAGTGATCAGGCAGGTGACTAGATGATTCCTGTAGGTCCCCTCCAACTGAAATATTCAATCAGAAGATCATAGAAGTGTGTCAGGATTCTTTGCTGAAGAGTCAATGTTCTTCAGCTTTGTGAGGTTACAGTTTGTTGTCTCTTACCCAAAAAGCTGCAGGGACTTCACAGTATTCTGTCAGCCTTGCAGTTCTTAGGTGCAGTGAATCACCTCTAAGTCCCTTATCAATTAAATCATTGTACAGATTTTTGCATTACATTCACATGATTTATCGACACATACCGTACAAATATTCAGCACTGAACAAAATGATGGCTCAGCGTCAATGGGGATGGTTACATCATGTTTCACAAGATACCGGATTTTACTGCATTCTCAAAGCAAAATAGAGTTGCTAATTCAATGATAGGGAGAAGAAATCCACACTATATTATATAAATACATATCTTTATTTCATAATCTTATGTTGCTTTTCATATACATTCCTTCTGTTTCCTGCATATCCTCTATTTATTACATTATAAATTACTGCTTCAAAGTGTTTTAAATGTTAAATAACCTGTATTATTATTTCAGCGATCATATCATAGCAATTTTTGCAAAGACTTTTACATTTGTATTTAGTGTGCTTAAGATGAAATTAAGAAACAGGTACTAAGTTAGATCTTAATTTTTAATGAGTTCTGGTGATCAATAGATCACTGTACATCTAGTCTATCTTTAAACTGAGTTAATGTAAAAACTAATAACCCTATCCTTCCCTTGAAAAAGGAACTACTTTTATTATTTATGGAAGTGATTGAGATGTCTCTGTGAGGTGTTTAATATCATTTAAACAAGCGAATGTAAGTTTCAAATGCTTTATCTTTGGAATTCATGGTATAAAAAAATAGAGTGAGAGGCTGCTTAGCAAAGACCAGGACTGGATTCTACTCACTGTATTTATATGTTTTATTAACAGAGGTACATATGATATTTATGTAAAATGCGATGGTGTTGGGAGGTGTGTTGGAACCTATGATAACCGAGGAAGCTTTGGTGAGTTGGCCTTAATGTACAATACACCCAGAGCAGCTACAATTATAGCTACCTCTCCTGGTGCCATCTGGGGTTTGGTAAGTGAAATACTTGTTTTAAGATATTTGTTTTAATTATTTAATATAAATTGCACTGGTATCCTATATCAGCATTAAAAAAAAATAATTACAATTTTGGAAAGTTTAATTTTAAAAATTCAGACAGCTCTCAATATGATACTGTCTTTTTCCAGAATCTGCAGAAGCCAACCTGAGGCTTAAGAAAACACTGAGTTTTTAAAAAATCATTTTGCTTTATTCTATTTTAAGGATAATTTAAAAAATTGCAAACCACTTAATTACTTAGACACACATATAAAATGTTTTCCCACATCTTGATAGGAAATGCCTTTGGTTCCAGAGTAAAATTCAAATATGAGGTGATTTATCAGTGTTATACTATCTGGATCTTTGACAACAGTAATAGAATTTACCAAAAGAGTAAAACTGGGATAGCCATCTTCTTCAAGATGTACATATCAGTCTAATGACTGATCCCAAGATACCATTTTCCTGTTGAAGTAAATCGCATGGTTTTTCACCAACTTAATCCATATGACTTTTGGGATCATGGCAGAGTTTAGGAACTGTAAGAATGGGTTTAAATTGGATTGGGTTGTATTGGCCAGCAAGTCCCATCTGTAGCAGTGAAGGCTTGCAAAGCATTTCACCTGTCTGTCACCAGGACACAGTCATATGGAGTTAAGAGAAGAAAATAGCATATGTGTAGTTTTTCCATCTGTCTGCTTCACCTGGATTGCCAAATACTAAGGAATGTCCAGTTAGCTGTTTAGGGCAGCAGTGAGTCTTGTTCTGCTGAAACAGCAGACAGTGAACTGTGACCTAAGACCCAGAACCATGTATTTCGGTTTTGTTTGTATAATAATATAAAAACCTCTTTGAGTACATATCAATATATATGGGACCTCAGGATAATGAGTAAACTTTGTAAATTAAATACTTAAATATTGAGGATTTCTAAAATATCTTAAATTACCCACTCAGCATTCATTGTGTAGCCAGCCTGTTTAAGCTAAACTCTCTACCCTCTGTATGTAAACTCTATGTATTCTCTGCCGAAGGGCAGAGAAGCTTTTCACGTGAATCCGATCAGGAGCTTAATTTCAGGAGCTCTTGGTTGACCTCTAGAGGAATCTTTCTCAACTGACTGCATGGGGAGACTAGCCAGCTAGTTTGACAGCTACATTGGGTGACTGAAATTGGGTAATTTGAACATACTCAGCCATTTCTAAAGTATTTTCTACCACACACATATTTTCTGTTAATAAGCTCTCTTTTTCTCTGTGTGTTTACAGGACAGAGTAACGTTCCGAAGAATCATTGTAAAAAATAATGCCAAAAAGAGAAGAATGTATGAAAATTTTATTGAGTCATTGCCATTCCTTAAATCTTTAGAAGTAAGATTTCTATTGCATTATTTTAATGGCTGTATCAGAGGTACCTGATAAGATTCTGCTTTTGCAGAGTTTAAATTTGGAATTCAAATTTTCTCCACAATAAAATTTTGCACACTTTTGTTTTGGAGAAAGACCATAGTTTTGATATTTCTAAATTTCAGGATAAAGAACTATTGTTAATATTATATATTTTTTAAAAACTGTATTTTTTGTCCTTTTCCTTAAGCTTAATTTTACTAAATATTAGCTAATAAAATTAAACAATTACTTAGGGAATTTCAGAATATTTTCATTTAACAGCTATATTTTTACATACATGCTTTTCTTAAAATCATTTTTGAAGACTTGGGATATACAGACTTCTTGCAAAAATGGAAGCTCTATCAAAACATCGATCTGTTAAAACTATAATATACCCTCTGGAACGCTATTCAGCACTTCTTCCTTTTTTTAATGATTATCAAAACAGGAAAATAAAGATACACTATTCTGTGCAAAGATTCATGAAAAAAAATATGAAAGGGCTTTCTAAATATAATATCATAATGTTAACTAAATATTTCTAACATTTTCTTTTTTTAAATAAAGGTATCTGAGCGTTTAAAAGTGGTTGATGTGATTGGCACCAAAGTGTACAAAGATGGAGAACAAATCATTGCTCAGGTACAGTTTATTTCTAGTTTTAGTTTTTCTTTTCTGATAGATAACATGATAATCATTACCTATAGGCAATACATACATGGTTGACAGCCGGCTGAACATGAGCCAGCAGTGTGCCCA